AATGGTGTTTGTGTGAATGGTGTGTGAGTGAATGAGGTGTGAATGGTGTGTGAGTGAATGAGGTGTGAATGGTGTGTGAGTGAATGAGGTGTGAATGGTGTGTGAGTGAATGAGGTGTGAATGGTGTATGAGTGAATGAGGTGTGAATGGTGTGTGAGTGAATGAGGTGTGAATGGTGTGTGAGTGAATGGTGTGTGAATGTGCCCTGCAATGGGTTGGCAGCCCATCCTGGGTTGTTCCCTAACTTGTGCCCATAGTTTCCAAGATAGACTCCAGACCCCTGTGCCCTTGAATAGGAAAAGTGGGTGCAGGAAATGGACGAATAATAATCTGGTCAGAGGCAGTTCAATGGGTATATAAATCTTACCCACCCAGTAATGAGAGAGGTCAGAAGAAAATGCCCAGAATGATTTAAAAAAAGCAGGATTTCCAGTGGTTATGTGTACAGGCATCTCTGAAGACACAAGTCATTGAACCTTATAGTGATCCAGGGGACAAAATGGGGTCCTTCCTCATACCAGGTAGATGTGCTTGATAATTTGGTCACATCATCTATTGTAGTCAGTACCTGATGTGGTGCACATCACCACTAACACCCCCTGTCTGAGGTAAAGTCAGCACCCCCTCAGAAGCTGGTGTCCTAACTGGCTACCTAATCATCAAAAGGACTGACCAGCCGCGATTATAATAGAGGATTTTATCCCAGCCTACAGGTACAAGTCCAGGTACTTCACCACAGTGCAATCACTGGTACATACTGGGTAACTGTTTTATAATGGGGTTGGAAGTGAGATTTTTTTATTTTTTATTGTGAAATGAAATGCTTAGTTAAATGGGATTTTATGTATCATGTCAGGACTTTACACCCTCCAGAGACTGGCAGGTTGTGAACTGGATGACGATGAAACAGGAAGAGTTGGAGTTTGGGAGGCTTATGACGGACAACAGTTTCTGGACACGGCTGAGGGCTCTGGATCCTGGAATCTTCCCACAAATCAGAGCAAAATTGAAAAGTTCTCCAGTGACTTAATGTCTGCAATTACCGTAACATTGCGAGCTCAAGAATGCTTTCATTTCTTGAAGATGTATGTCACAGAGGGGAAGAACATCCTAAACAGACGACGTAAGTGTCCTCCTCAAGTAAATCTGCCTGCATCAAATTCTAGGAGTAAATTAAATGCACAACATTATACATAGAATTCAGTTTGTGAAATTTCCCCATTACCTGACCGTTGTCTAGTAATAGATGTATGTACATAGATATGTAACATCATATATGTATAATTACACTGAAATTTGTACGATTTACACAGTTTATCATGTGCAATGTATATAGACTAATGTAAACTATAAAGATAATTTCTGATGTCTCATGGTTAGACTGTTTGCAGATGGACATTTTGACAGTGGTGTAGCAAGTTATCTGTAACACTAAAGCAGGGGTGGAGAACCTGTTCCATGGAGGGCCGATGTAGGTTTGGGTTTTTGGGATTGGCTCACAATCAACCAATAATAAAGCAGTGTTTCTCACCTCCAGTCCTGAGGACCCACTGTGATTGGCTGATTGAGAGGCCATCCCAAAAACAAATTAGTAAAACGTGCCTATGATTTAACTAAAACGAGCAATTAACTAAAACTATTTGTTTTATTTAGCGGACAATGATGCTCTTTTACAGATTCTGCACTTTACTGAATAACCTGACTATTGAAAGTACTTTTCTCAGTGTTGATTATAGTTGTTTAACGGTGGTTTTGTCGTGCTATTTGCGGTGCCACTTTGAATGGTTCTGAATTTAAGAATGAACTAACTGGCCATTTGTATGTTGTATTTTATTAAGTTATTTGTTTTATGTGGCAGACAATATTAAAACATGAGATTAAACATAAATGAATGTATTTAAAGTTATATATTATATTTAGCTGTTTTATCTATTTAATTGATTTTATTATAGATTGTATGATGAGTGTTTCTGATATTAAATATCTAATGCATGTTCTCGTTTCAATAAGAAAGACAGAACAAGTAATGGTTTTATAGCATTTTGAAAAAATAATAGAGGGATTTATTGCATTTTGGGAAAAAATATAAGCTTTTAATTCAAAATAAGATTTGACTTATTGTTGAGCATATTCAGACTGAGCCAACAAACTATTTTAACAGGATAAATTAAAAAAAAATTTGCAAATGTCTGGGCCTGGGTAAATGTCATTTTTCTGAAAACGATTAAAATGGCTTTATAGCATTTTGGAAAAGAGGTCTTCATATATAATTTCTATCTTTATGTTATGAGCGGGGCCCCACAATAATAATGTTAGCTAAATGAAAATAAATTTCCTGTTTCCATGTAGAGAAGCCAAAGACACGAATTCTGTTTAAAGACAGTGACACTGGAAAGAAGGTGACATGCTTGGCTACTGGCTTCTACCCAAGACACATCAACATGAGTCTGCTGAGAGACGGACAGCCTGTACCACTGGAGCAGCTGGAAGGGGGGGATGTGCTTCCCAACGGGGATGGGACATACCAACAGAGAAAGAGTCTGACTGTCAGTCCTGAAGAAGAGAGGAAAAACTACACATGTATTGTGGAACATGTCAGTTTGGACAACAAAATGGACATAATCTGGGGTAAGAATGTAGATGATATTTAAAATCCTTTCAGTGGAATATATTAATATGCATAGCAACAAAATACTGGGCTTTTTAACCAGAAAAGTGACACAACCTACCTTTAAAACATTATTTAAATGCCTATCATTCATTTATTTCAAAGCAATCAATAACTTTGTGGCTGAAAGGCAACATTTAAATACACTATATATAAAGACTACAACTGGTGGATTTATTTATAACAATATAGGGATGAATCTGTATATTTATTTGTATGAATTTGCTTAATAGAGTATAATTAAAACTGTACAATGTACTAAAGATCAAGGTTTTGTTTTTGTTTTTGTGTAGTTGACGACTATCTAGTACCAAGTCGCCGCTGGGTCTTTATTGGAGCTGTGATTGGGACTGGATTTTTGATGGTTATTGTAGTAGTGATAAAAATATGGAGAAACCACCAGTATACCTTGTGAAGTGATTATGATATGCAATAGTAAGTATCTTAAAGACTCATTAATTTAACGATTGATTTGTTGCCTAAACTGTCATGTTTATATGTTGACATATTATTATATTTTATCTTTCAGATGCTGAAAAACCTGATTGAAATGTAGGAAAAACAAAAACGTCTAACACCTTGCTGTTATTGTATTAAAACATGATCGAATTGCCCAGTTATTGGTTAAACCCGTTCACATGGGGACCGATAAGCCAGTAACCCCACTTCGTAGTACAGGCCCCGGGTCACCTGATGCAGCACTCCATCACTCTCCTTCTTGGTCAGATAGCCCTTACATAGCTTCTGATGCAGCACTCCATCACTCTCCTTCTTGGTCAGATAGCCCTTACATAGCTTGGAGGTGTGTTTCGGGTCATTGTCCTGTTGAAAAACAAATGTGTGTGTGAGTGAAATAATGCACTGGAACTTCTGTCACGTTCTCACTGTTTGCAGAGGTGTCAGCCCTAAAAGTGAACATGAACAAGTCCGTACTCTTCCCTCTTAAAAATTGTGTTCTGTCGGAATTAGGGGGTATACCAATTAAAAACGTGGTTACATACTTGGGAGTTGTAATATGTAAGGAGTCTCATCAAAGGGAAGAATTAGGTTTAAAATTTATTTTAGAAAAGATAAAAAAGAAATTTAATGCATATTTAATGAGAGATCTGTCTTTATTTGGCCGTGTTTTACTATCAAAAGCAGAGGGTATTTCTAAGGCTGTATATGTTTCAATATCTTTGTGTGTTCCAGACGATATTCTTAAAGAAATGGATAGAATGCTATTTGATTTCATATGGAGAAAAAAAGCACATTATTTAAGGAAAGAAGTAATATGTAATAAAGAGCATGGTGGTCTTGAGGTGTTGACCTTCAGGGAGCTCAATAATACATTAAAATAAAATTGATAACTGATTTTATCATAAATAAGGATAGTGTGTGGAAAATTTTCCCCAATTATTTCTTAAGTTCTTTAGGTTGTGCATGTTTCTTTTTACAATGTAAAAAAATGTACTATTCAATAGAAAAATTCCAGCTAAATTAGCAGATTTACACAAGCAGGCGTTTAAGGCGTCGCTACTGTTCTACAGTCACAACTTTTCACCACATTGATACTTTATTTGGAACAATAAAGACATTCTTTATAAAAATAAGAGTATTTTTTTACCGGTCTTGGTTTGATAATGGGATTATCAAAGTCAATTACTGAATGGACAAGGCTTATTATTTTCTTATACAGAATTACGTGACATTCAAAATTCCGGTGACACCCAAAGAATATGCTATTGATGTGGTGCCAAGAAAGATTGTCCTATTACTACAAAATTGTGGTCAAATAAACACTGAAGTTTGGGTGGACAAAATTTTGGTTAAAGGAATTGATGTATTAGGAAAAAATTGCAATAATAAGTTTATCAGAAGTATATTCAAGGAACGTTATATTCCAACTTCAACTGTTTTTTTGGTCCTCTTTATTTGACTGTATTAATTGGAAAAGAGCATGGACTAATATTAATAAATATTTTGTTTGTAATAAAACCATAGAGGTATCATTTAAAATTTTGCACAGAATTTATCTGGTAAAACAGGTTATTTGAGATTTAATTTAAACATATATAGGACACCTGTCAGTTTTGTAATTTATCAAAGGAGACCATTGTTCATCTTTTCTTCCATTGTTTATACTCTAGATTATTTTGGATAGACGTGTCTAATTTCTTGACGAGAGCTTTTGAAATGTTGATTAAAATAGATTTATATGATGTAATGCTTTATTTTACAAGGGACACTTTGAACAGAAATGTATGTTTTATAACACAGCTCTTTCTTATACTTGGAAAATTCCATATCCATAAAAGAAAATGGTCTAGTGCTAAGCCAAATTTTTTTCTTTTTATTAAGGAGTTTAAACAATACAGCACCACTTTGTACGAATTACTCCTTTTTTTATAAACTTGTGTAATTACCCCTGACGCATTCTTATTTGTTACACGTGGCTATTATATATTGTATTCTGTATGTCTGATATTTGGAAATGAATGTACATTGTTTTGTGTTTTTATGTATGTACAGTTCTTGCAAATAAAAAATAAATAAATAAATAAATGTTCCCACTGCAGGAACTCAGTCCAGTTGTAATTTCTCGGAGGGACTACAGGGGTGGGTCTTACAGTGATCTCTTGCTGGTAGGTTGACCACAAGCACAGGCGCTAACTTGGAACTTAAGCAGCCCCCCCTCCAAAATGGATGCTGAAGGGAGTCCTGACATCATCACCAGAGCAGGAATTCATCGAGGGGCGGAGCCACAGACTATTAAATGGACCAGATGTTTTGGTAATATTCTTTGGTAAATTCTTTTGAAACCTTTATTCTCTTAAAACTTTGGCCAGCATTGAATCAGGTCAGCATCTGCTTTACATGAAATTGATTTTTTATTGTTTTGAAACACTACTTAAATATGTCCTTTGTAATAAAAAAAGAGGAAAATTCGATTGATAACTGATTTACTTTTGTCTAGTATCGCTGGTGTCGTAGGTGCAACTTGCCAGAATAATGTTACATCATTTTTCATTCTGAGGAAAATTAAAGATTGATTTGCTGGCCAGATAAAATTCTGAATTATATGGCCCATGACATGTTTATAAATAAAATGAAAATAAAAATAAAAAGCAGTGTCCTGTTAGGTCCATGTTTGATCCACCCTGTAACTAAGAAATAACTAACATAACGACTTGTTCATCATCCGTTGTTTTAGGGGGGTGCTGTAGTTTCCTATGAGATTACGTGTGAAGGTTAACCTACGAGTTTTCTGCATCTCCCTTGGTTGTTTATCATTTATCATTATAGAAAACAACAAATGACTCATTATATTGCCTTGAGGCGTCCCATTTTCAACAAAATACTGCGAAAAACTCTTTCCTACTCTAATTTGAATTGTTCTTCCCACCAAAAAATCCCTGAGCCATCTATAGACTCGGCCTGAGATGCCTAATTTACAAAGTTTAATTAACAAGCCCTCCTTCCACATCATGTCATTAAATCACTGCAATCATGTCGAAAAAGACAGCTGCAACACTTTCCCTGTTCACCTGTGCCCTCCTTATTTGCTGCTTATGAATGTTCTGTGAATGCATTATGAAGGGGCAGCTGTCTAGTGTGAAGTGTTACCTGATATTGATATAAAATTTATTATTCTATGGTGAAATGACAGCAGGACAGCAGGATTAAACCTTCCACGCTACATTTCACATTTGTCAACTCTAAGTTACATTAAGGATGGTTCTGGGATTCCATTAAGTTCCACACTGTAAAAAATTGCCATGCAGGGTTGCCAGTAGTTTACTGTTAATTTTATAATTCATCTACTGTAAACAAATTTTCAGTATGTTTCTGTTATAATACAATGCTGAAAAAATAACATAAAGTCCAACTTGGGATAGATGAACAAATTAAATAATTTTGCTTATTTAATATTTAGACTGTTTGTGAGGCTTAATTTTTGGAAACCCAGGAGTAATACAGTATTTAGAAACCCACTGCAACAGATAATGGAATGCCATAGAAATTAGTCTTCGTCACATTTCATTTTTAGCTGTCTTTCAATGCCCTTTGGAACGCCTGAGTTAACTGATGGGTGCCAATTGGCTCTTTTCCTTCAGTATTATAGTGGCACTTATAGGTGTGTAACAACAATAAAGCCCTGAAGGATTGTCGTTAGTGGGTTTGGATGTTAATGTTAGTATGAATGTCTTTGTATATTCTTCTAGTAAGAGACAGGATACCTCATAGGAAAGAATAATGAGAGCTTTTTTGATAACATACCCTTTATTATCCATGGTGCATCCAACCTTAGTGGTCCACCTTGGGAGCAGCAGGGGGCACCACAGAAGTAAAAACCACCCTACCAGCTACAGACTAGCAGAAAAGAGCAGATCCCACCAAGACCCATTCCTGCAACAGCAGTCAACAACCAATATAGTTAAATATATAATCAAGAAGTTTACAACACATGGCACTGTCGTTAATCTCCCTGGATGTAGACGGAAGAGAAAAATTGACTGCAACTCAGGATAGTCCGAATGGTGAATAAACAGCCCCAATCAACTTCTAAACAAGCATCCCTTATCTAGAAAAGGGATATAGGAGGGAGTGAGAGAAGTACATGCTGGTGAAAAGGGGGGCTATTAAGGAAATAGATTAAATAAATAGTTAAATAGTTAATTCGCCTATCTTACCTGTGAAAAAGGCAAATGGTACTTGTAGGTTTGTACAAGATCTGAGGGCTGTCAATGCAGCCATACACCCCAGAGCTACTATTGAACCCAACCCGGTTATGATTCTGGCTTCCATACCAGCAGAAGCCAAATGGTTTTCTGTCATTGACAATGCATCCTTTTCTATCCCAGTAGATCCAGATTCCCAGTACTGGCTCTCCTTCACCTTTCAGAGGAAGTGGTGGACCAGAACAGTTTAGCTAAGGATTCCACTGGGTCTGGGAATAAGGTTCTGCTGGCAAATATTGTTGCTAAGCTGTGTGAAATGATCTTGTTTTGATTCAAACAGGTGCAACGAAGGGTGAGCTTATCGGACCTTATTTCCCCAGGTCCGCATATCCAGGAATGGCCAAAGCCGTTCATGGCCTGGATCATGTGTCTGGTGACGGGATGGTGGCAGCTGTGACTCGGGTGTGGCATGCCCCTGGGTTTGCCACAGCCGCTGGCCAATTCTGCAGGAAGTGTATGGTGTGCATGAAATTCAATGTGGGGAAGGGCATCCCAACCGACCCGGCAGTGACCCCGAGTCCCCAAAGCCCGTTTGATCACCTGCAGATGGATTTCATTGAGCTAACGCCTTGTAGGGGATACAAGTATTGTTTGGTGATTGTAGATCTGTTTTCCAGGTGGGTGGAGGCATTCCCTTGCCGTCGCCCTGATGCTCTGAGTGTGGCTAAATGTCTGCTAAAGGAGGTGATTCCTCGATGGGGCATCCCATCTAAAATCACCACAGACAATGGTCCTGCGTTTGTCGCAGAGACCCTGGCAAAATTGTCCCATTGGATGCAAATTGACTTGAAGCATTATTGCGTCTATCACCCCTCGAGTGGAGGGATGGTGGAGAGGGCAAATCAAGCACTGAAACTGAAATTGGCCAAGATTTCAGAGACTACGTGCCTGCCCTGCCCTGGGTTGATGCCCTTCCCTGGGTTGATGCCAGGACACGTCGCCAAACAGGGTTGGCTCCTTTTGAAGTGTTGACAGGAAGGCTGATGCGTGTTTTGTCTACCTCACAATATGTTGCATTAGAGGTTTGCTGAATTATCTTACAGGATTGCGGAAAGCGATAGGTGCAGCCTGGGACCAGGTTCGTGCCAATTGGAGGATTCCAGAGAGAGAGCTGAGACAAGGTGTGACACCACTCAAACCAGGGAGCTGGGTGT